AATAGTACAAAGACAACTATGCCCTTATAGGGCGGCAAAACATAAAACAGCATATATAACACTCAAAAAACATAATAAAATTTGGACTCACATAACTACTGTRDTCHCCACCTCCTATCTAACAACTAACATAAAACATCTACTCAGAAAAACATCATAAAACTAATTAATCTTCAACAATGATGAAAAGATAGATTTTATCCATTGTATATAAGCCACCAGTATGGCTCTGTATTTATGGAATATGAACTAACAGTGGTCGTAATTCTTGTACTTCTGGTTATCCCTTTTAAGTTGCTTAGCAATTAAATCGGTTATAATTAGCTGACTACATCAAGTTCTTTATAGGAGGAGGACGTGGATATTATTGTGCATCACATACATGGTTTGGTTGAATCTTTTATGAGACGGTGAGTTTCACAATTTCACCCGAAAATGATTGAACACAAATATGATCTGGGTCCTACTCAGATTATCATGACCATCCAAGCAATGGCATTCCTTTGGACCATTAAAAGAATATGGGACTTGGATGAAAAAGAATTAAAATAAAGTCCACAGCTAAGGTAGTAAAGTGATCCTTTGAATTCATGAGCATGCTGAAGGATTTGTATTTATCTTTGTTGCAGAAAAGAAAAAGAAAGATCTAAAAGTACACCTGAACAAAACCAACAAGAGTTTAAAACTGCGGTTTCTGATGCTGCCAGGCCTTTTTTTACAGAAAGAACAGAACGGTTTGTAAATGAGATTGAACTTTTTCTTGCCTCGGGATTAAATATTGAAGCATACGACAAAGTTTACTTGGAATGTTTGGGTTTGAATGCTCCTGATGCAACTAGTAAAGGTGCAGAAGTACATGAACAAACACAACAGGTTCTCTATTTTCATCTTTTTGACGAGGATTCAGATAATGGTGACTGAAAAATGAATACATCAAAATTTAGAAGCACAGTAGCAATTTGTCACTTGCATGAACTAATGAGCAACAGAGATTTTGTTTCCTGTTGAAGGTCCTTATTTGCTCTAATGCAGAATCTTTGTTTTCATTTGCACTGTATTGAGGTGTTTGGCTGTGGAGGAGAAGTTTAGAAGGGATGGAATAGTAGGACCACTTTGTGGGTACCCATTTGATTCGAGTATGAAGAACATTGCTGGGATGAACTTGAACCTCTGAGTTGCTGAACTCAACCTTGGCCCTAATCCAGTCCACCCTTTGCTAAGGACAGGGTATGCTGGGACTTGGGGAGTCTGATAGAATTGTAGAAAAGCAAGCTTAAAATGGTTTAAGTAATTTAAAATTAAATGATACGAGGCAAAATGAGAGGAATGCCTTACACAAGTAAAGGATATTGAAGAAGATCTCACATACGATATGACTGCAAGTCGAGCCTGATCTAAGACCCTTCACCGGTTAATGAGCCTGCCTCATGGTCATGGGTCATGGTCATCCGTTTGCTGAGAGGGCTTTATTGTACATATATACTGCTGCAACAGTGCAGCCAAGAGATTGTTTCCACTTGGATAGCCAATGGGCAGTGAGGTGGCCATGGCCTTAGACGACTAAAGTATAAACTTGTGTTTCCACGTGGATGGTCTAACTCTATGGGCCATGGTCTAACTATATGCAGACAGGCACACTCACGTACATGCACATGTGCATGCAAATATGCATAGACATCCAATTAAATGATAGGGAGAATGACTGTTCAGCCCACCTCAGAATTCTTAGTCCTACTGTACAGGTGGGATGAATCCTGACTGTGGATTGATGCTAAATCCATAGGCAAGATGCGGTTTATAGGGGGGTATTAGTAGACTATGGACAACTGTAATTTCAGAATTCTGCATTGGGTTGCAGTGTACTTTGCAAATGATATTCATAAACAACACCCCACCATTTCATTTCACATTATACATATAAAGCTAAGCTACCGTATTAGGTTTGGTCGTTTTGGGTTGGTTGAGGTTGTTCAAGGCTATCCTAATGTCTTCCAAACATCACTTCGTATTCAACTTCGCCCAGCCCAACTCAAGTGCTGTGGCCGTGGCCCTGAACAAGTGAACATGCTGTTCGAATGTGTATATAGTTGGGTTAGGCAGGGCCGATGGTACATACAAGCCTAGCCCAACCTACCTTGGTTTGGTTTATTGGCAATAGTAACTTTCTGCGGCTTCCAGGATAGCTGGGTTCTGCATACAGATCAAGTTTCAAAGTTTTAACGGAGATCAAGCTTTTTGATGCAATGAAAAAGTGATTACTTTTGATTTTCTCTCTCCAAAAGTTGAAACATTTCAAAGTTTGGGGTACATTCCCATTTGCTAGTCTCTCACAGATAAATTGGTCAATTGGATAATTGATTTCGATTTTCATGTTCTTACCCTGTTATACTGGGTCTTACAGCAATCAAATTTTTTTGAAAAGTATTAATTATTAGATGATGGATACTCTCATGAAGGGTGAATAAGTTGCTTACTCGATTAACTTTTGACCAAATAAACTCACCTGCTGAGTAAAGTCAAAAGGGACAGGGCATACACTTAGACCCGAGTTAGATCTACCTGCCAACAAAATATGACCAAACAGCCTATCAATGTAATATGAGATTGGACATTTTACCAGATTTCACATCTTTGCCCCACAGCACATCCCCGCCGTGTATTGAAAACATTTCCCGATGATAATACTGGAACTGATGATGTCATCGTCATCATCGGGAGATGTTCCTAATACACAGCAGAAATGTGATGTGGGACGTTGTGGGGCGGATGCAAATTCATTTTACCATGAGACTGGGACCCGCCATGTTGGTGGAGTGTTGGAATGCATTTAGCAGGAGATCCGGATTCCATATAACCAGCAATCTATGTCCACCCAGTATTCAGGGAGAGAACATTTTACTACACCCAATAAGACATGAGCCTTACCAATCCTTTCTTAATGGATCCCGTTCTTATCTTGAAATAGAAAAGACAAAAATTCGTCCTTTTACCAGAATCCTTCTGTATAGTAATTCACACAAAAATTAGAAAAAACTAGATTTTATGTCAGTTGGCCTCTGTCTGAGTGGTGCTTCGTAGTACCAATAGCAAGTAGAAACATGGCGACGCTCTCTGATTTCGGTGCTTTCATGGAGAGATTCATCTTACATCCTCCTCAACAACTCCCTTTAAAAGGTCTTACTTTTGCTGTTAAAGACATGTAAGTCTCTGTGGTTCAATTGGCAACTTGTAAGCTGTTTTCTTTTCGATATCATACTTTGCCTTAATGACTGTTTTCTCGCTTCAATTTCACACATTCTCTATTTACGGTAATGGGCCTTAGTCATTTCACTTTTACATGTTTATAGCTTTTCTTTGATTGTAATTTGGTAAGTTGGTTCTGAATTCTGAAGTTTTTGGTAGCAGATTTGATGTTGAAGGATATGTCACTGGGTTTGGTAATCCGGATTGGGCAAGGACTCATGGGGCTGCCGTATCAACAGCTCCGGCGGTTTTGGCTGTCTTAAATGCAGGCGCCACATGTGTTGGCAAAACTGTCATGGATGAAATGGCCTACAGGTTAGAGCTGAAAATAAAATGATTTATCATCTCAAAACTGGTTGTGTCTTTATCATGGATAAGGCACCCTGATACTCRGATTCTCCCAAAGTGTCTACTTACATTGTATTGATATGGCTATGGATTCTATATCAGATTTTGTATAGAACCCRCATTCACAGGAATTATTATTAAGGCTACATAGTTTTTCATTTATGTTCATCTGCTCATTTATGTTTGATACTCAATCTTGAGATGAATTTTGTATATGTTCTGAAGCTATTGGTTTAGAGTTTAGACTTCACCTACTTGACTTGTGTTT